TCAAAGTTCGATTAAAGAGCTACGCGTTTATGTCAGTTCATTGTTTTCGATTTAAATTTAAACTCTTCATTGTACGTCACGTGTAGCAAGCTTTTAGTAAATATACATCATGATACGAGTTTTACACTATGCCGTTATATAGATTTAAAAATAATTAAACACAAATGCATCATCTTCAGCTCATTGGGGTGCATATAGTTTCCCGCTTGTTTTCTTTAAAAAATTAATAATTTGTGTTACCGTGATTTTCAAGTAACCGACCGATTTTCATGTAGCTGACCGATTTTCATGTAGTCGACCGATTTTCATGTAGCCGACCGATTTTCATATAGCCGACTGATTTTCATGTAGCCGACCGATTTTCACGTAACCGACCGATTTTCATGTAACCGACCGATTTTCATATAGCCGGCCGATTTTCATGTAGCCGACCGATTTTCATGTAGCCGACCGATTTTCATATAGTCGGCCGATTTTCATGTAGCCGACCGATTTTCATGTAGCCGACCGACTTTTTTTCAAGTAGCAGAACGATTTTCAAATAGCCGACGGATTTTCATGTAGCGGACTAATTGTATTTATAGGCCACCGTACGATTAGGACTGATATAGTGATTAGCTTGCTGGCTTATAGTTGTAGTCAGTGAGTATTGGCCACACTTAGTCAGGTTAAAGTACTTATTACAAGCATTATAGTTATTGAATGTTGTTAATGTTAAATAGAGAGAACAAAGCATCGGTTGTTTTGGAAGTTGCTTGTTGAGTCAGGGATTTTTCTTTGTATTGTATTAAAGTATTTGAAATTTATACTGTTCAACCATTGTCAGCACCTTGTCTGTATGTGTGCGTGTTTCTTCACCCTGTGGTGTGTTAATGTTCGTTGTATACTGACTAATCAACACCACGGACCCTGCCCCAAGAATTTTAAATTGTGGCATCGACTCTCGTTGGCAAACAGGCCCCGGTGAGAGAAGTGTTACATATGCAATATAGAAGTAGTGACTCACGGGATAAAAGTTTTCCAGAAATAATACTCTTTCCAAAGAGACTACATTTACTGAGCTAAATGCTACAAAATATAAGGTCCATTCTTCCCTTCTGAAACGCGAGCCCAAAAGCTTAATATTGTAATTCGACCACCGAATTAATTACCATTAAGTAATATATATATATATGCTGGAAAGACCAAACTAATCTCAAACTAGTAACCTAGAAACGAGAACTACAATTACCCCAAGCGTGTAGCTCTCAGATCTGTAGCGATTAAATACAACTGCAGTTTACTGTAGCGTTGAATTCATGATCGTTAAACCCAAGTTTAAATTCTACCCCAACGCAAAGATAGCGCATTAAGTCGTAATTATGGTAAGAAAATGGTCACACAGCCCTGTGACGTACATTTTGTAGTTCCAAACTGGAATATGGTCTCCTTAACAAAATGCATAATATGTCAGAATTTGCAAATTGCTCATTAAGTCAGGAGAGACAACAGTGCATTCAATCATGTACGGAACTGCACATGTCGTCTGGTAGAAAAATATTTCAAAACAAACACGATTGTAGTTAACATACCCCATGATTACTTTCGAAGATTGCTATTAATGCTATTATCAACTGTAAATTTGTCGGTTTACGGCGAAGTTTCAGAGAGACTGACTTTCCCGATGAGAGAAGACTGCTAGCATGTCGTCATGATGGCGGTCCTGGCTTTCTGAGTTGGCGATAGTTGGCATTTGGTGAGGCGCATTCCACGACACTGCACTCTCGCATATATGTACAATTTTGTATGTATACGCCTTCCTGTCGCTACTTCTTGTTGAACTGTGAGCTTGTTTATGCATCGCCCAGTATCTTGCATACCATTATTCACTTTAAAGTCTAGTGGCAAGTAAGACAA